AGAATGAGTAGGAGCTATGGTAGGAGCATGTTGGAGCATGTTGGATCTTGCGATGCGAACAAACCTCGAGAGAAATTTTGATGAATAACCATTTATCTTGATACTATTTTTTTTATGACTAACAAAAACTTTCTTACTTTTTTATTTAAAAAATTTTTATTTTACATAAACAATCACCTGGAGTGTTTCTATACTCTAATTAAAAATCGCTGTTATTAAATAGATATTTACTATATTAATATATATATATTATATATGCATATATCAATTTATTATAAGTATTATTATAATTTAAGGTCATTACGTGTGTGGATTTATTCTCAATAACTTTTTAAAAAATAAGAAATAAAAAAATAAGGATGAATTCTCGGTCAGTAAAGAAAACTACTGTGATCGAATTTTGTGTTCTCATGGTTGGAGTATAAAAATCGCTTTAGATAATTATTCTCGGTCATAATGTATCTAAAATGCAAGATAATTCAGTAGGAAACGAAAATTGAATACGTGGTGTCATAACATATTGATATTATTATTTCTATTTAGTATCTATGTTTATCATCTGCTATAATATCCGAGCAATGTCATGTACCTACTATTTACATGCTTGACTTTGTTAGTTTATTCTGATATTGAGATCTTTCTGCTAGTGCACAACTTTCCATGTCTGTAACTCCAAAAGAATAGCATTTGCAGATCATCATGTTTATATGGCTCATATTCCTTCACTATGATTATTGATTAGTAAAATACGTAGTGAAGTTCAGTTTCTCCCTTTTCACCACATAGTTTTTTTTGTTTCATGAATAAATCTTTATTTTATTGCTGGAAATATTTGAAATTTTTTACTGGGAGTCTCGAACGCTGTAATCTTGTATGGTTTTGTACTGGGCAAAGTCCCGTTTCGGTACTTTGACCGAACTTCACCGCCGTAATAAACCTCGCCGATTTGGAGATGCATTGGACATTAATGCCTTCGAAATTACGGGGTTACTGCCTGTATGCGTACGTGTACTCTTACCTACAGATTGGTTAGAGATAATCAAATTCGAAGAGTCGCAAACATTCGACCCTATACGTAAAGAAGACCAAGAATAATGATATGAGAGAAAGAGAAAGGAGAAATAAGTATTCAACTCGTGAAATAAGTATTCAATTAATAATTAAATAGTTGATAAAAAATAGTAACTGTATTTGCTACATATATATTGCAAGTACTATTTACTATCTCTAAAAAACGAGCGTTAAGCAATTGCGCAACCATTTTCGAAAAACAGAAATCCGGATATGTAGAATTTGAGAAAAGTCCTCGAAATTCCTAAAAAATAACAGGTGATTCGTAAAAAGCGCATCTACAGAATACCAGGCGTTCGTCCGTTATCCGTGAAGTTCTTGAGATCCATCTTTTTTTGTCGAGCAAGAGCGGCCGCTGGCGGTTCTCAGCTGTATAATCTTGAGCTGGACCGCCACACACAGCCCGACTCTCTTCTTTTTATCCGAATTGAGAACCCGGAAGGCGCCTTGCCGTGTTCTCCGCCGAGGAAAACCTGTCCGTGTCACGTAGCGACCTGCATCCGCCGACGTATCGGTATACGGCCGTGTACCTGTGCACGACCCGCAGCATCGCTTCTTCCTTCTACGTCGCGATGTCTTCTCTCTCTTCATTTCTTCTCGGAATCAGCCGTCGCGGAGACGCCCGGACGCGCTTCGTTCTCGCGGCTGCATACATACATCGCGCAGGAAGTTCTTTCTTCCAGATTTTGCATATTCTTTCAACTTCGACATATGCCGCTCTCAATTTCGAAGCGGGTTCTCGGCTTCGGAACGAGTCACGCGACGTCGCCTTCTTTTCGAGATGTCTTTCTCTGCCTCTCTTTTTTTCTGTGCCTTTCTCAGCTTCTACATTTTTTTTATTATTACGTTAACACACGAATTTCGTTATAGATATTTAAAAGTTATGTACAAGTGAATATATCTTGGCGAAACTGTTGCTTTTTATGTTTAAACTCTAAGCAGAATCGTGTAAGGCTCGTAATTATGTTCTTGTAAGACTTGCAATGTTAAAACTTACAAGTGCTTATAACTTTATGCAATGTAAAAACTTACGAGTACTTATAACTTTATGTAATATCTTTAGCTTTTTGATAGCTGTAAGATTTACGAGAAATCAGACATTTATGAACGATCGAACGTCTCTCTCTCTTACGGTACATAAGCATAAAATTAGAGCACCAATCATAAGTTCTTATAGGTACTCTCTAAATTTCTTGAAGCTAAATCTTACTAAAAAAAAATACTAAAAATCTGCCACTCTTATTCAAGAGTGCAAATTTTTCACTCTTTTTCAATATCGCCTCTCTAGTTTTCCAACTTTTTTAGCTGTGTGTTCCAAAATTTATTATCAGTACTGAAGATCCATAGTGCACGTAATATAAATTATAGCCTTTCAGTGATAGGCTAATAATGAATTTTGGAAACACAGTCTTTATATTGAATCAATTGATATTTAGATTCTAGATCCGATGTGCTAATACGGAAACTCAAGGAAACTCAAAGTAAGTTCGATGTAAATAGAATATCAAAAAAAGTAATGATTCGATATTTCAAAATATCGAATCATAGTATCTCTAGAATTGACTCAGTTTCAGACTTAGTTTCCTATTAGTTTTCATTAGTTTCGAAGAATCCTTCTATGAGTCAATTAAATTTATTATGTTTTTGCTGATAAATCTTAAATCGTTTAAGTTATAAGAAAAAAGCTTTCTAGAGAAAATGGAATTTCTGTTAGAGAATTTCTTCTTATTATATTTAATTTTTTGATATGTTTGATTTAATGTCTGGAGAAGGAAAGAAGTTTGGACTCGTCGAAAAAACATTCCAGCACGTTTCTCATCCTTGATATTCGAAGCATGATCTGTAACAAGATCCGCAATGATTTTGCGCCATCGATTCCCAATTCCTTTGCCGTGGTTCGTCAAGGAATCGATAGGTTCCCAGAACACGACGGCGTGATACCGCCGAGACCTTGCGGCTTATTCCGAGTCCGCAGCCCTTCCTCTCATTTCCTCGTCTTTCTCACGTTCCTCTTCCTCGTCAATGTTGCCACAATCTCCTCCTTCTCTCTTCTCTTCCTTTCAATTCTCCTTCTCATCTTTCTTCACGTCCTTTTTTCTCTTATTTTTCTCGCTGTACCTCCTCGTGAGTTAACCGACTTAAAGTCCCATTTACACTGCAGTAAGTTACATACAAATTTAGGAATGTCCTGGCATTTTAACAATGGCGGAATAGTTTCTTATATACTTATAGAATAGAATACTTTTATCGTTTCGCATCATGTTATTTCAGTTATGGTGTCGGGAGATTAAATGTAGAGACATGATGTTAAGTACAGATTGTGGTGTTAAGAGTATTTAATAGAAAATAAATCACACATATTTGCTATAAAGAATTATATTTTTATCAATTTTATACTATTTATATTTATTACTTTTCCACTGTATTTTTTCTGTTTCCATGGCTTTTAGTTCTGTTATTTCCACGTCAAGACATTCGTGAGCGATAGTGTAGGTGTAGCTTAAAGCGTACTCCGTGAGTTTCAAAGTATACGCCACTATTAAAGTACATTCCCACAAACAAAGCGCTCCTTTTCGAGAATGGAGGTTGTCGAGAAAAAAATCACATTATATACAAAATAAATTTATTATATTTAAACGTTGTCTGAATCTTTTTCTCAATATAATAAAACATCTACAAAATACCTTTTCAAAATTCAATGATAATTGGAAGTGGTGGCAATTTTTGAGTTGCATTGAGTACAAGAGAGAGAGTTTAATGTTATTGCATATATAAGTGAAGTTATAACATGACCTTTCCGTGTAACTATTGAAAAATCCATTTAACAGTTTACGATTTAATGTTATAGAAACTCTCTCGCATTTTAAGACAAATTGACTTTAAGTTTAATTCTATCGTGAGATCCCCTTAATGTTTTATTATCATAAGACTCTTAATGTTGTTATGTAAGTGGAATTATATATTATAGCACGCCTTTTCTGTAAATTTTGAAAAATCCATTTAACACTATGATTTAATTCTCAAGAAAATAAATGGTGCTTTAACCCTCCATGGTTCAACCAGGATTCAAGCGAATTTTCAATTATTCTCAATTTTGAATTATTCTGCCTCAAATTCGGACATGTACTGATATGCAAAAAAAAGTAAAAACGTTTCGGGTTGTATCATTGTAAAATAGTGTTCTTGAATGTTGAAAGAATGTACCAGAATTTTTCCAAGTTTTTTAAAGCTCAAAACCCTTAATAACACAATTAAGGATTAGTGACTCGGTTGGACTAGAGAGTAATGAAAAAGAAAACGTTAGAGAATTAAGACAGATTGATCTTAAGTTTAATTATGATGTGTTGTTTCTGTACGAAATGGAGACCTTGCAATTCGTAAAAATTGAATTCAGCTCAAAGGCAATGTCGGTGTAGTGGATCTGAATGAATTCCTCAACGCGGCTTCCTTGCGAGCCCTTTTTTCCCAACCATCACATCAAATTGTTATTCCACGCAGGCATTAAGTTGCGTATTGCGTCGTATATCGCCACCTCTTCCCGGTCGATCTCTGACCGATTCCCTCGCGTACGTTCTGAGGCACGTATGCACGCGTGTACTTATGCATGTAAGTTCCTAGGGACGACCGGCGCCTTCGTTCCACCTCACCCTTCGAGTCGAGATGCCGGTTCCCTGGTGTTCACTTCTCTCTGTCTTACTCTCTTTCTCTTTGTGCCTCTCTTTTTTCGTCTCTCTCTCTCTCTCTCTCTCTCTCTCTTTCTCTCTCTCTCTCTCTAGGGTCGACCCTTTCCTCCTCTTTCCCCGCCATGGAATCCAGCGTTAGGCCTGCCGCTTAACGTTGCTGCTGCTGCTGCTGCGTCGCCATTGAGAATCCCTTGGATAGCAATCGTTAGTCCGAACTCGACCGCCGTTCGGAGTGGATCGTTCATTCAACGCGACACTTTCCACGAATTACCGGGTACTGCCGGGCAGCGTAGTACTCTCGAACAGTGGAAGTGTTTCGGCGCGTTGGTATCCTTCGCACGCGGCGGAGCACCCTACTTCCGGTTTATCCCAAGTGTTAGCATCGCGTCGCATTCTCACCCTTGCGATCTCGCGGATCGACGGATATTCTATTTGATCGGAAAATACACGGCGAAAGCGCGCGCTTTCGCGAGAGGGACGGAGAGAGATAAAATATAGAGACGAAAAGGAAGAGGGATGCACGTGGTGTTCTGATGATTTTAGAGGTTTCTCCTTCGCGAGTGGCCCAGGGAAAGCGCACAAACATGACCGTATGAGATCAGTCTTCCTCTCGATAGAGTAAAATTCTTCGGAGACGAAGACGCGCAGAGAGACGCAATGGATTGCGACGTTACCGCGTGCAGGCGGTAGTGCTTGTAAGCCGGGGGGTGCTCGAAGCATCTACGCGGGAGAGAAGATTCTATTTATCGCCGATCCCGCGCTTTCTCCTTCGGCTCTCCCCCGTTCGTCGTCCCCGTCTCGTCCGCCGTCCGTGAGAATCGTGCGTCGCTTATGATGGATATATTTTCGAATGGATTGCTCGCGCCGAATGGATTGTCGATCAACAACGTGGAGATAGCCTCCTATCACTCGTCCTTTTGCTCACCACCGATCACGGAAGCGTAAGTAATTGCTCCAAGTCCACGCCCCACGTATTTATTTAACTACTCGTTGTTGCAAAGATGGTATCTGTGAATCGATTGATAAATACACTTATTTCTAAGACTTGTATCGCGATAGGAAATGATAGGGGAATTTAATTGAATTTTATTATGGCAGAAATATTAGAGATTAGATAAATTTGTTATAGCAGACTATTTAACATTTTAATCTTCCACCGGCAATGTTAGACTTTAAAGGCGATTTTTTTATTGTGAATTCTGGTAGATGAATTTAAATTCATAAAACATAAATAAAATATAATTTAATTTTTATGATAGTAAAAATTCATTGTCATAGCTTTCACAAATATGTAAGAATTTTTCAGATTTTTATACAATCCGGAATAATATAAAATTCTGCACCGAAATTTTTGAAGATCTAGATTGCGAATTAAGGGTGAAAATTTCATATTACCGACGAAGAGTTAATGATGAAAATATAGACACGTATTTTTTCTTAAAACTATGCTAGTCGTTTGTATTTAAAAAATCAAGTTAGATACCTCGTAAACTCTTGAAGATTTTTTAAATTGAATTCTTATTTACTTCTTTGAAATTAGAGATCTTTAGTTACCCCATACGTAATTTTTTCTCCTCGTTTATCTCTGTTTTGTTACTTTTCTATATCGAGATAAATTCAATTTATCTTGATATAGAAAAAATTCAGGATATAAACTTTAAGAGACCAGCTTATAAAAATAAGTGTTGTAAGATAAGGTATTAATTATGATCTTCAACCTCTGTCTTTCAAATAATTTGCCTTGTTAGAGACGACAAACATTTGTTATTTTCATTGTATTTAACGCTGCTATTTCTATTTTTTGTACACGAGATATAAAATTCGATATAAATCGCTTCTGATACATTAAATTTCATCGTTTTCTCGATTCGTCTCTATATAAATACGCACGAGATACGAGCAGTAGGTTTAGTTTAATATCGATGTTTCGAAATTCTTTCGTGCGCATGTGTATCGCTGTGAAGAGAATTAAATACGACAGATATTGCGACATCAAAGCCCTTAGGCCAAACATTTGATCGTTAGAGGAAACTGTCGTCGGCGATATCGCGTATGAATATAAGGATGGAGGGAATATGCGCAGCGTTCCAACAACGGAAATGTAACGTAATGATATCAAAGGATGCAGTTTTATCGCGAAGAAAATTATGTGACGCTGGTCTTAGCGAGTACTTATTACTGTACTCTTATTAAGTTAGCGTGAGTGTTGTTATTAGCATTTATTAGGAAATACTTGATATTAGAATTTAGATTATATTCTAATAGAAGAAAATATGAAGATGAACTAGATCGTCGCGGTCGCGATAAAAATACTGTTATTGATATATAGAAGGATGAAGTAAACACGCAATACTTTATATCGCGTGTTTACTTCATCTTTCTATACTGTTGCTAGTATTTTTATTTTAGTAACAATTTTCTAGATGGGAATTGCAAAGCAATGAAAAATAACAGAAAGGTCAAACGAGCAAAATTCTCGTTTTTGTTCGTCTTTGATCTTTCTAATACTTTTCATCATTTTTATTTTACCCCTTTAATCTGGACTCCCCAATGTTGCAAATTAAATTGGAAACTAGTAAAAAATTTAGTGCTTTTTATTAAGCGATAAAAATGATTATAATCTTGTATACTTTTAATATAACTTTACAATATCTCTAAATTAAAGTTACAATTAAAATTAAAAAAAAAATTTTTTTATTATTATTAAATGTTAAAAAAATTATTAAAATTGCGGTCAATAATTATATATACATATGTGTATATAATTTGTTGTATTTTATTAAATTAGTAATCAAAAAATGCGACTTTTTTATGAAACATATTTTTAGAAATATAATTTCCGCAATTCTTATTCATAAGAATGTGATTAACACATTTCTCAAATATCTCTTATTACATAACATGTATAAAAATAAGTATCTTATGAATATGCAATGATATAACATGTTATAAGATCTAATCGAAGGTTTTTTTGACCAGAAATTCTTTAGTCAATTCGATTAATTTATTTCTTACTGCTTTTTTTGTGGTAAGAGTTGAGAAAGATCATTATTTGCTGTAGCTTTTCGATTTTCGATATATTTACATATATATATATATATATATATACAGAATCTTAAAAGCTTTTTTTTTTCTAATTTACTTTATATAATAAAATATGATTTTGTAATTTATTCACTTGATTTGCAAAAAGCCCTTTATACTTAAGTCGCGTGTTCGAAAACTATTGTGGAAAAATTTCAGAGCTTTTTGATAAAAAATAGGTAGATGAAAAATAGGTGTCAATTCAGCGCGCAAGAGATTTCAAATATGATATATAAATTGACAGCTCAACCGTCATATATAGGCTTTATTTCTTACTTATTGTGTATTCATATTATATGGTCCTGATAAATCGTTTATTAGGTAGAAATAAATTTGAACAATACAAGTGTAGGTACGAGCAATTTGTATTTGGCTAAGTATCGCGTTGGAAAACAAATTTCTGATATTCTATGTACTTATTTCAAGAAAAACTGCATTAAAAAAAAACACAGAAAATTTTTAAGCACTGTACTTTATAAGCACATATTGGAAAAACACACACACACACACACACACAGAGTATATTTTTATAGAAAAATAAAAAATAAAGGAATTTAAAATATAAAAGAACATTCAAAGAAATTACTGTAGTAAATGCATTTTTTATTTCTGAGAATTCTCTGAACTTTGCTAGATTCAAAGGTATGAAGATAAGTACCATTTTAGTACAACTGCAATTGTTTCTATTGAAATGCTAAGTCTGATATAAAGGGAGAAAATAGAAATCTAATACACATAGTAATACCTTGCGAAATATATTTTGAGATAGTTTTGTTTATCCGGTCTCTAGATGGGTAAGAAGGAAACGAAGAAAAAGCTTGACAAGCGTCTAACTAAGAATGGACAGGCAAGAAGACCTTGGTTTTCGCATGATATCCAAAGATACAGCTATCATACAGCTACGAACTTTTCAAAATGCCATTCGCATAGAATATTCAGCGCCAAAAGAAACGATGAGACTCTTCGTCTTTTTCTGGTCGGAAGGTCGTCCTCGTAGGTTGTCTCGGCAAGACAAAAGGGGAGCGAGAGAGAGGGGGGGTTAGGTTGACTAAGGAGATTTAAACCCGGTTTCAGGCCAATTCTGTGATGGGAATTTGTGCATCCTTTATTTTGTACCTTTCTCTCTCTCTCTCTAAACCCTAGGTCTGGTTCCGTTCTTTTGTTGAAAAGAACATTGTAAAAAATATTAATAATTTTTGTTTTATTTTGATTACATAGTATTTTGCGATGCTACAGTCTAATTTTTACGATTTCTTTTTTTGCACTTTCTAAAGTTATTGTTTATAAATCTAACTTGAAAATGTAAAGAATGCGTTTAGCAGAAAAAGCAGCTTTATTGCAACTATTGTAAAATTTTTTAATATAATTGATATTGTTATTCTTGTCCTTATCTAGTTCTTTACTGGATCTAAATGTATAACTAATCATTTTCATGATGACATACGTAGTATGGAATTATTTAAGAGGGTCTCCTACATTAGAGGATCGAAAAATTCAATTTTTTTCTTCATAAATCGATAGTACAACTTTTCAAGAATGTTCCTAAAATTTTAGAATGAAATTCAAAGTCCTTCGGTATAAATTCAGCGCTTGCACATATATGGGTGCATGGCGCGCAAGTATAATAAATTTAAAAAAAAATTTTTTTATTATAGTTCTAAAGTACTCTTAAAGTCATTCAATTTTTATTGTGGAAATTGTTTTCTATCTCTTATGGTTTCGATGATATTCGCTTCGAAAGAAAAAAAAACGATTTTTTTCGAGGGGAAGAGGAGTTTCACTCTTTATATTATACACACACACACATATATATATATATATATATAATCCTCAAGATAAGCACAAACAAAAAAAAATTAATATTTTTTATGCTCTACATCATATCCGAAACTCATTAAAATTGGTGAGGATCGGTTCCCTTGTTAGTAGCACGAGAGGCCCGAGTAACTCGTAGAATGGCTGAAATTGCTCACAATGAATTCCATGAGAAAGCTGAAGGATTATTGCATGTCCTTGGAATAACAGATTAGTCTCCGAGCATTGTAAATACTCTAGAACTAAATCGAAAACTTTAAACGCGTTTTTCTCGAAATCTGTTTTTTGCATTTTCTTCAATTTTGTGTATACGATTGAAAAAAAAGTATTTGTCCGATCGACTTCTTTTAACTCGTTAATTAACTAACAGTCAACCATCCTCGATGAATCTAAAAAGTTAAATATACTATTTATATATTATTTATTTGCCTATGTTTTTATGTTTGCTTTTACTTTATTAATCTTTTAAGAAAGAAAGTTTAGGGATAAAAAATTCTAACAGAGAAAGTTTCTTTTGAAATTAGAGAAAGTTTTTCAGTCTCGTAGACCCAAGCCTTTTCTGCGATTGTTGAATGTCCTGCTGGTTAAAAAATTTTAAAAATTAGAGTAATGTGGGAAACACGACAATTTTACCTGGCAACAACAATATGGTTGCTATAGAGGCAGACTCTCACAATTTCATGATTTCACACTTAGTCGAGTTCTTGGAGAGGTTATTGAGTTTACATGTCGAGTACCAATGGAAGGTCACGTATTAGCATAAACTACTATGAAGTCTATGAAATACTAACGAAGGATGTTAGCTTCACGCAAATACATAGAAATGTATAAATAGCTACAGCCTAGAGTGGCAGAGAGAAAACGAGAAATTTTTGAGATCTCCCGATTCTCTATGTTGAAGCCACGAGGCAGAGATGTGTGTAGATATGTACTTGAGCATTGATATTACAATGCTCATGATAATAATAGTCTCTTTCTGAATCGTTCGCAATTCATAATAAATTCAGCTTATAATTGAAGTATATATGAAGTATACACAAGA